TTGTCTAGCACAGCTCAGCTAATTCTCTACAGATCGCCTGGTGGATAAGGAAGGAATGTGTGGTATCCCACTGAGTCATAAACTCGAAATTGGAGAATGATATTGTAAAATTAATTGCATCAATAGCTGCGTTTCGTCAAGAGAGATCCACACATAATAATTAGGGATGCACCGATACCAAGTACAGTACTCGGTACAAGTACAGATACTTTTCCAGCTCCAAGACTAGGCTAGAGAAAATTTCAAAAGTTAGGAGGCAGCTGTCATGTGTAAGGAGCACACGGAGCTCCTGGGATTTGTACATCTCTGTTTTAATGTACGATTTAGGTTTTTATAAATATAAATAAAGGGATGCACAGATACCAGTTTTGTGGGTACAAGTACTGATACTTGTCCAAGTACGAGTACTGATACATTTTTGTTTATTGTAATGTGACAGTTTTTCGAAAACAATACAGACTAATGATTTCAGGACAGTGGTGGAGCGCCAGAGCCAGGTCCAAGCTGCAACCACTGCAACCCTGGTAGTTCTCGTGAAAATGCCAAGTATCGGCACTGGTACTCGAAAAGTATCCCTAAATTAATAATCATGGGTGGGTTACAATGGGCAGAGGCCTGACAATCCACATTAACCCTCCAAGGCCAGCCATAATTCACATATACATCAAGTTTGGTCCCCATGTAAAGCTAATTTCATGACGCAGAATAATTTAGGGGTTATAGGACAGTAATATTTAAGAATATTAACCATTAATGACTGAAGCACTTTTTAAATTTTTTGCTGTGTGATATTTCCACGGCAGTAATATACTAATATACTTTCCTATTAGTTGCACCCACCGATATTATATATTGCTTTTTAGAGGACAGATAGGGCTATATAATTGTATCACATATGTGTGCCTAACGCCTCAGTTAGTATGAATAACATATTTTAAAAAATGTAAAGAAAATCGTTTTTTTCCCAGTTTTGATTAATATTATTTTTTTTAAAAAGTAGCACAGCTAAAAAAAGATGCATTGAAATAAATTCGTTTATTTGTTCTTTATTTGGAAACACCTCACATCTCCTAGGATTTCAGAGATTTTTCTGTACTTTTCAGCCTAAAACTAAAAGATGACATTTTATTTTTTTTCTCTAAAATCTAATAATGGTTAGGTTAGGTGGTTTACAATTCACTATCGCACTTTAGGGACAGCGACATACTTTGAACAACGCCGTCATGAGGAGGGTTAAATTAAAAAAATTAACCCCTTAGGGTGAAAAACAAATCTGCAGCTCAGCTGCAGATTATCACTGTAAGGTTTTTTTAAAAAATAATCATTACAGCAGATGACTGCTTGATAATTTTTTTTTTTGGGTTATTATTAGGCTGCTCCTAACTTAGGACCAGCTAATAGTAACCTTAGTGACTGATCCTGACGCCCTGACAGGATTTGATCTCACTAAAGGCTTCTGATTTGTTCTCAGACAATCAGAAGTCTGATCCATTTCAGCAAAGAAATACATTGTAATATATTTCTGTGCTGAAGAATGTTACAGAACAACCTGTACACGTCAGGGAAGTCCCGATGTCAACAGAGCTGTCAACACTGAAATAGCAGAGCAGTGTGCACACCGTTCGGCTTATCTGCTGTCAAATACCTGATTGCTACAGCGTTTTGGTATTTGTAACAGCTTCATTCTTTAATTGATGAAAGAAAGGAAGAAGGAAGCTTTTACAAAAGCTTAACTATTTCAATAATGGATGCCCCAATACTGAGGCATCCATTAATGAATGGCAACTGCTGATCCTCAGTGGTTACTGGCATTTCAAAACTCTGAATAGCTGCGCACCTACACTGTACATGAGCATTGATTTGGGCACGATGGAGGCATACAGTGTACGTCTCAAGTCGTGAAGGGGTTAAGATATATGGTTAGTTATAAATTTGACAGTTTGGGAGGAGCAGAGAAGGACATTGTAAAGGTTTACTGCAGCCCTCCTGCTCACCTTCCCCAGCCCTGCCTGACGGGCAGGCTCCGTAACATCCCCTAGAGCAGTGTTCCCCAACCCCCGGTCCGCGGACCGGTAGCGGTCCGCGGATCAAATGGTACCGGGCCGCACAGTCTCAGTGCGGTCCTGCAATAATGGGGCAGTGCAGTGCCGGGCCCCGCACTGCCGACGGGCTTCACAGTGAGGGGGCGGGTCCTGTGACTCACCTCCCCTCCCGGCCGCGTCCATAGTAATAGGAGGCGGGAGGGGAGGTGAGTCACAGGAGGCGTGTGTGTGTCACACG